ATTCTGCCGCCACATTTTTTCCAGAGGGCGCTCATACCACAAGATATCAAATTACCGAAAGATATCGAATTACCGGGTCACCAACCTATTAGTTCACAATTCTGCCGCCACATTTTTCCAGAGGGCGCTGATGCGTAATACACTGCCGCCAACTGAAAATGACCGGCAAGTGGCGCCTCCTGGCGGTAGAATTTGACATCGTGGCGCAGGAACCCCTTTGTTACTCTACTTTTAGTGTTTGAATTTTTGTTAATGAATTTTTTTTACTACAAGTATGGGTGGTGTGACCCATACAATGATCTAACAAATTAAGCTTACCTAAATACTTCAGAACAGGCTTCTTTTTCTGAGGACATATTCATATATGTATATATATTAGACTGTTTCAAAAAAATCGACTATTTTTTTCTTATTAATATTGAAAATATTGTTTGAAATGACGAAAAAAAAATCCTGTGAAAGTTTGAGCTCTTAATATTAATATAAAGAGGTGCCGCATCGAAAATTTCAATTTCCCATTTGATTAACATGGGAAAATTTTTTTTTCGAACTTTGGAATTTATTAACTCTTTAACAATCATCGGACTAGTTGAGGCAGAACATGTTTTTGTAGAGAATTGAACGCTCTACAAAAAAAGTCTCCTATAATTTTTTGATATATTTACTTTTTCAAAAGTTATTTAACGCTAAAGATGGATTGATTTAAAATTTTTTCAATTTTCCGACGCAACCATCAACTTTATGAGAAAATTTAATAGGACTTTTTTTGTAGAATATTCAATTTTTTATAACTTATTCAGAGGTCGCTCGAAAACATTCAAAATACTCTACTTTGAAAGTTTAAAATATCTTGAGCGACCTTTAGAAATCAAAATATACATTTGAAATTTTCAGAATCATTATTATTTTTAAATTAAAAAAAAAAAAAATACAATTTTTGACGATTTTGGAAAATTTTAAAAATCTTGAGCGACCCCTAAAAATTTTTTAATGGAGCTGATCTGTTGACAGGGCTCTAAAACATGACAAACCAACATATTTTCACAAGAGACAAGAGAAAAAAAATATTCTTATTTTTTGGGCCACCCTAATATATATATATATATGTATATATATATATATATATATATATGTATATATATATATATGTATATATATATATATATATATATTACCACCACATACATTTTTTTACTGTCTTGAGTTTGATTCTCACTAGTCAACCATTTTTTTTATAATTTTCAATAAAATTAATCCTTAAAAATAATGACTAAATTCTTAGGTACTACCCAATCCATTTATATGCATTAAATAAATTTTATTCAATAATAAATATACACTTTTAGTTTGAATTATTTTTATTTTAAAGTCCAAACACAAAATTAATTTAGTCCTTTTTTGATTTTAACCTATAATTTGCTCTTCTAAGCCAGCCCGATATTGCATCTTCTATCTCCTTTTTATTATTTGCCTTGCCCCCAGCTTCAGCAGCAGCTAAAAATTAAGTTTTTTATTTTGGTTTTTAATAATACTATAAAACTGTTTTAAAATAATACTATACAACTGTTTTAAAATCTTTTTGATGTGCATGTAGATAATTTCAAAATAAAAAAAAATCACAGAATTTTTTCTTCAATTTATTTAATTAAAATATATTATTATTGAATTTGAAAAAGTGAATCTTCAACTCATTAAATAATCAATATTTCGGAATTAAATTGCCTTTATAAAAATTCAAACAATTTTTCTATTTATGCCAATTTGTCCTATTACAAAATCCATATGGCTACATTATTATTATTACAGTATCCTCACCTATAATTAACCTTGTGAAATTTTTTTTAGATCTTCTACCTAGCCAACTATATTGGTTAGCTAATTCATTTGATATTAGTTTTTTTAAACATCTAACTACGAAGTCATAAATGTTTCTTCCACCTATTCTAGATAGCTCATTAACCTAAAATAATATTTAAATATAAACTGCTGTTCAAAAGTTAGGGAACCTCCTGTAAAATTACAACCGAATTAATTTTTTTGTCGGAGCATTTTTAGTTTAGTAAAATACCTTAAAATTAAACAAAACATACAAAAAATACCAGTTTATTCATAATGTTATAATATAAAAATATATTTATTTGAAATTTTTGAAAGTTGCCTTATTTAAAAGTAAATTTATTTTTATTTTTAATATAATGTATGTGAACCTCTAGCATCAATAACAGCTTGACAACGTCTTGGCATACTCTGTACTAGGTTATCCAACATTTCTTGCGGAATTTGAGCCCAAAGAATAGGTAATATTCTTGTGAGCTCCTGCATTGTCTCAGGCCTAGGTTGGTAGTTATCTAGGCTTCGTTGGAGCATATCCCAGGCATGTTCTATCGGATTTAGATCCGGTGACATAGCTGGCAATGGCAAATGCGTTATACCATGATTTTCTATCGCACGACTTAGGGCCGGTTTATCAATGTCCAGTTAAGTGTCTTAACTGGTAAATAAAATTAAAGTGGTAGCTAAACTGTTTATCAATATACAACTAACGTTTACTAAGAACTTAAATTAAGATAACTGGAAGTAAATTTAACTGCAAGCTACAAGTGTCAGATACTGAATTAACTAGCAGTTATCGCGATTTATATTTATATTTGTGTTTGTGAAGTGTGTTTTTGAAATGAATATGGGAGATTTTTTGGATAGTGACGACGATGAAGAAATTGTTGAGTTTGTGGAACACGAAAGAAGACCGTATAAAGTTTTAGACCGGGAAGAACATTTTCAAAATTTTGACGATGTAGATTTTTTTATGCGATATCGGCTGCAGAAACAAACTGTTTTAAATATTGTGGAAATAATAGAGGAGGAAATAGAAACTTTTACGGATAGGTAGGTACAAGTTCTACATATTTCCACGTAACAAGAGAAAAATTTAAAATGTATTGAGCTTAAATAGATTTTTTTATTGTAAAGTAATATTTTAACATACCTACGATGTTTTTAACATCAAATTAAAAATTTACTTTGCAAACTCAATCCCTGACAACATTGTAATATTTGTTTAATTTATTTCAGAAATCATTCTATATCTCCCATAAACCAAGTTCTGTTAGCTTTGCGTTTTTATGCAACAGGAAGTTTTTTGCTAACTGTTGCTGATACAATTAAAGTTAGTAAAAGTTCAGCAAGCAAAATAATCAAAAAGGTTTCGTTTGCCATCGCAGCTTTGGGACCAAGATATATTAATATGCCAACAGAACATGGTGAAATAGTAAAGGCAAAAACATTGTTTTACCAAAGAGCAGCATTACCTCGCATAATTGGGTCTCTGGATTGCACTCATGTTAAAATTCAATCACCAGGTAAGTAATAAGTAACATATTTTTGTAATAAAACATATTTTTGTAATATAAATGTAATGTATACCTTTATAAAATTTAAGGTGGAGACAATGCAGAGCTTTTTAGAAATAGAAAAGGATATTTTTCTATAAATGTACAAACCATTTCGTCAACCGATTTAAAAATTTTGGACATTGTTAGTCGCTGGCCTGGCTCCACACATGACCAAACGATTTTTGATAATTCCGCTATCAAAAGAAGGCTGGTCAATAATGAATATGGTAATGCGCTGATAGTAGCTGATAGTGGATATGCAAATACCCCATATGTAATTACTCCACTATTGCAGGCAACAACTGAAGTTCAGCAAATATATAATGAAGCCGGTAGTATTTTTAGTTTAAATAATAGTGATTGTAAATTTTATGTATTATATTCTGTAGTTGTAAGAACAAGGAATCCTGTTGAACGGCAATATGGAGTGTGGAAACGAAGGTTCCCAGTTTTAGCTGTGGGGCTTAGGTTAAAATTGGAAACAACTATGGCCGTTATAGTAGCAACTGCAGTACTTCATAATATTGCTATAGAACAAAATGAAGAGCTGCCCCCAGATAATCCGGATCTTGGAAATATTGATTTTGATGAAAATATTGATATTGAACCAGTAGAAAACAATGAATATGCTAATGCAAGAAATTTTTTACTGAATGAATACTTTCCACAGCGATTAATTGAGTTTAACCTAAATTAATGGTTTAACCATAAATAAAATTTTAATTATATATTATATAAGATATTTATGTACGCATTTTATTTGAAAACATTCCTATACCCACACCTATAAAATAAATATAAACTCTCAGAAACATATATATATATGTATTATGAATAGGTAATAACAAAACAAACAAAATATAACTTAAAAATAAAATAAAAAACCTACAAAAATAATACATAGAAAACTCTTATACATAAAATTTAACTAATATATACAGGGTGAGTCATAAGTGGTGAACTTCCCGAAAAATGCATGTAGGAGGGCCTTAATATAGGTAGGCTAAAATGTTTAAAAAAATCTATCTGCTTTTGTACTTGAGTTATGGCCAAGAACTCAAAAGAGAATTTTGGCAACGTGTAAACACTAACAATGTTATACAGTAAAGTGTTAAATTTCATTTTGATTGAAGTAACTAAGGAAACTATTTGAATTGTTACGCGATTATATTGTTGTCAATAAAAACCAAACACTAAAAAATAAATTATAAACGTCAAAGTCAATTTTCGTATTGTTGATTACAAAAGAATAACCAGACAAACACCAAAAAATAAAATATAAACGTCAGTCAGTTTTCGTATTGTTGATTATAAAGTTGTCAGATCATTTCAATTGTTAAAAAATCGTTCTAAAACATTAAAATTAAAAGAAAGTACACTTTTTTACGCAATTTTTTTGCTAGTAAATTTTTAAGAACCCTAAACTCAGTAAAAATCATATAAGGTGGAGAAATATTAAATAGTAAAAAAGTTAAATTTAAAACTTAAGACCTGAATTCCTCGGTCACTTTTTCATTTGGAATTTTTTTAACATTTTTTCCTACCTATATTAAGGCCCCCCTACATGCACCTTTCGGGAAGTTTACCACTTATGACTTACCCTGTATAACAAAATCAAAATAAATAATAAAAATAAATAAACAAACAAACTCTAAAACAAAACAAACCAAAATAAACTCTAAAATAAATAATATAAAAAAAATTCTTAATCATAAAAAAACATACAAATAGGGAGTTCAGTCAAATTCGTTAAAATTTTCGTCCATTTTTTGGAGCTTTTTGATTAAAATTTTTTTTTCCAACTCCAAATTTTCAACTTTTAAATTATGTTCCAGTTCGTTGTGCTTAATTGATTCCTTGGCAATTTTGAGCTGCTCTTCTACAAGTTCTATTTTTTTTTCTGCCAGTAACTCGAACTTTGCACTAGCTGAACTCATAGATTTTTTTTTGGAAATTACCGGCCTTCTTCTACTTGCCCAGGATTCTAAAATAAAAAATTTGTAAAATTTTTGTAAACAATTTTTTAGTAAAATTTAAATATTTTTATTTTATTATATTATTATTTATTTTTATTTTAGAGCAAAATGAAGTAGGGAAATATTGCTTCTAATTAAAAGTTATTTTTAAGTTTAAATCCAATGCCTCTTATTAAAAAAGTCTTGATATTTGTAAAACCAAGAAATACTTACATTTAAATATGGAAATTAACCCAATTATCATTTAGTAATTTTTTAATAGGAGGCAAAGGATTTAAACTTAAATATAACTTTTAATTCTAAGCAAAATTTCCTTATTTCATTTTGCTCTAAAATAAAAATTAGGGTTACTTTTTTCTTACTTAATGATTATTTCAAGTTTGAATAATTTTATTTTTATATATAATAACTTTTTCAATTTTTTTCATAAAATTAATGATAAGAAAGTTTCCCAATGTAGACAACTTAAGCAGACACTATATAGGTATGTATGTACTCACTTTTATTTGCCACATTTTCTTTACCCTCATGTTCCATGTTCCGAGCTGAGGTTTGGGTATCATCCAATAAAATATTTAAGTCAGGATCGACTATTATCTCCTGTAGAATTTCTGTTGTATTATTGTTTATTGCAGATGCTTGGGCATCAATCCTAAGTGCAGGGTGAACTTTAGTTTGTAAAAACCCTGCACTGGGTTCATCCCATTCCACTTCTCTAAATTGATCTATGGGGTTGGAATCTTTTGGAGTTGATACCACCTCCCGCACTGGAATTCCACTTATACCTATACATAAAATTATAGTATTAGCATAGAGGTATTATGGTATTTGTAATAATATATAAACAAATTTATTTTATTTTTAACTTAAAAATTTTAAGAGAAAATTACTTATTTGGCACTATGTAAGTGTAGAAACCCTTCATCTCTACCTAAGAGTATCATGATACATGCATCGAGTAACATTTTAAGTGACAGTTTTTGTATAATCTTAATCAGTTTTAATATAATTTTTTAATTTTTCACTTTAAAAAATATTTGTTGACTATTTTGTTACTAAATTAAGGACTGTTCATCTGAGATAAAATATAAATATTTTAAGATTTAAATAGTATATAAATATATTTATATTTATAAATATTATAAATGTCACTTATGTTGTATTTATTGAACTGTAAAACACTTTTACTATTGTGTCCTACCTGCCAATGCATCTGAATCAAATCTTGATTCCAAACCACTTGCACTAATGGCAATTGTATGAAATAATTCATTTTCTTCTTCCGTTTGCACAGCAGGCTCTGGAACATGCCTTCCACCTCCTGTGCCTAACACATATTTTTTATGCGAACTGAAATTTTTTTTTAGTTCCTTTTTAACAGCCTCATATTTGAGCTTTAACTGTTTGTCACTTCTTGGCTACAACAAAATTAGAAACAATTAGCACCAATTATAGGTATACCTATAGGTAGGTATAATAATATTATTAGGTATTATATACGTATTTAATAATTATTAAATTATATTATATTCTATTAAATACTAATAATACTTACAATTCCCTCTGTGGTGGAATTAAACTCTACTTCAATTTTTTTCCATGTACTCTCCTTCTCTTTCCACGTTACCGCGTCCGTTTTTTTATTTTCTATTATATGTTTATATCTGTTAACAACCGTTAATAGATGCCTGCGCTCTGTTTGTGTGAAATTGGCGCCTCGTTTCCGTTTTTCGCTCTCCATTTCAAACAATAACAATACAAACAAAATAAGTTGTTTGAGGTTATGTGTTTTAAGAATTATGCGCATATCATGTATTTAAATTTAACCAATTAAAATGGGTCTTGACAGTGTTGCCCAATTGCCAAATTACTAAACTGGCAGATAAGAAACTGAAACCGTACGAGGTGATGAAAAACACTTCTGTTCGGTTAACTGTCAGATAAAGATAACTGTTAGATACTTAACCGCCACTTTTAGTTGGAAATTGATAAACCGGCCCTTACTCGCAGTGTACGATTCGGTCTTGCATTATCATCCAAAAATTGAAATTGGTCACCTATTTCTTGATGAAAATGTTGGACAATATTCTTTATTATGTCTTTTTCGTAAATGAAACCATTCATGGTATTTGCGCAGATATACAAATCCGATCGCCTACCCAAAGAAATACCGCCCAGACCATTATTGTCCCACCTCTAAAAGGATGGACCTCCTGCACAGCACGTACATTTCTGGGTCTTCCGGGTGTTGTCCAAACTCGGGTACGTCGGCTATCTGAGAATCTGCCAAACCTGGACTCATCCGTAAAAAGTACGTTATTCCATTCTTGGTCCCAATGTAAGTGTTGTCTGGCCCACTCTAATCGAGCCTGTTTGTGGGCTCTAGTTAATGGAACTCCTCTAAAGAGACGCCTAGAAACCAAATTAAGATCTAAAAGGCGTCTTCTTATGGTTGAAACGGAAACTCTCACGCCAGTAGCATTTTGTAAGCGACCACTCAGTTGCCGGCTCGTTGATAGAGGCTCTCTACGGACAGAAACAGATAAATATCGGTTTTGTTGGGGTGTAAGTTTCCTAGGTCTTCCTATTCTAGGTCTATCCTCCACAGATTCTGTATCTCTGTATCTTGAACGAAGCCGAGAAATTACGCTTTTTGAAACATTAAAGTGTTCCGCGACAGCTATCAATGATTGCCCAGCTTCTAGCATTCCAATGGCCATATACCGGCGATCTACACTTAACTTTTGCCTCTCCATTATTATTATAAAATTAAATGAAAAACGATTTAAACAAGTGGTCAATTATCAATAATCTACTAAATGTGATTTAAATGACTTTTTAAAATTTTTATAACAAATCGCGTTAAATAAAAAAACTGCTTAAAAACTAAGCAATATTTTTTATCAAGTACGTTAAAAATACATACATGTTCATAAAATATTGGTTTAAAGAAACAAATATACCGGCGTCTTAACTATACAGGGGGGTTCCCTAAATTATGAACAGCAGTTTATAAGGGCATTGTTCATTCATGCAGCACCAAATAACTGTGTCCACATTTAATATTTCTTTTTAAAAGTTAAGCTTTATGTCACTAGAAGCTGTTTTAATTAATTTAATAACTATTTTTTTAATGTTTTAAAATGTTTTAAAATAATAATTGTGATAGCTTACTGCTTTCTCACAATATTCCCCATTTTTTAGAGCATCATTTAGTTCTGACAGGGCTTCTTCATTTATCACCGGATTTTCAAAGAGTGATTGTTGAGTGAAATGATTTAAACCAGGGTTTAAAACTGGCTCAATTGGAATGTCATTCACTCGGCTTTTGAGAAACATAATTTGCTTTAAAATTTCTTTTGTATAATGAACTAAAAATAATTAGTGAACATTATAATTACTCAAGTATATACAGTTTTTGTTACAGTACTCTAGTATTTAAAAAGTATAAACAATTATGTTCTATTAAAATAAATTTATATCTGAACCTTAAATTTCTAAAATAAAATATGCTGCATCTCAAATAGGTATCTCTTACCATGAACAGGACAACATGTACAATTAACAGAATTATTTTCTTGTCTAACTTCTTGTTCTGGATTGCATCTTTCATTTTCAAACTTCAAACAAATTCAAAATATTAAAATTTTGATATAGGTAAGTATTTAAAAACAATAATAATAAAAGCTTAGCTAAAAAATTGTACAAAAAACACACATTTCGTTAACAGTTATTTGTAGAGAAAACATACTTACCATAAGTGGCATTTCTGAACAGGATAACTTTAAATGATGGCCAACAGGTATTAATCTGGTGAGTCTTTACAGCTACCGATATTTTGTTTGCTGGCAGTGGAGGCCAAAAACAATTCCATCCATTTTCAGTATTAGTTATCTACACTGTGGGAACCATGGCAACAGTATCTTCTTCTACAAACTTAACAATGGTCCAAGTTTTTTGGACTATTTCAGATTCTTTTGCCATTTCAACTTATTTTATAATACCACAACCAAACACCTTTTACAGTTAAAACTTTAGATTTTATCATGAAACGGTTTTAACAGTTTTACTACCCTCTTATAAGAAATTTTTTATTTTATTACTGTTAACAAAAGCACCAATCTCAAAATAGCCCAACCACAACATACAAATATGAGACTAAATGTACGACACAATATATTTATTAGAAGAAACAAATTAATTTTAACCCAAACACAATAGTACACAAGTTATAATATAACAAGAATAATCAATTTACCACCTCCTGATATTAAAAAAGTACAGTAAATCAAAAAATATCTAAATTAAAAATGTAGAAATGGATTAAACCATTGTAAAATGCAACACATAAAGTAACACAAAGAAAAAAGAAATCAGTAGGTCTAAAATAGAAAAGTTTTTAAATATTCACCCAGGTGTTCACCTGACTGGTGAAAATCCTTTTGCTCATTAAAAATTACTCACAGATTAAAAATTTGTGTTTAGATCAAAACTAAAAAAAATTACTGCACCAAATATAGAAACAGAAAACTTGAAAAACAGTTAAGTGGTTTGGGAGTTTTGATATGTTAAAAATTAATATTTGCAAATAACTAGAAAAAGTTCAGAGAAAATGCGTATAATCTTATAGAGAATATAAAAATTACAAAAAAACTAGGGTTAAATGAACTAATTTATTGTATAGAAAATTTTTATGTCAAAAGATAGCTATCTATATCTATATAGGTATATTCTATAACTTTTTTTAAAATTTTACTAAGACAAAAGGTTCTGAAGAAGTTTTATGTATGTTTGTTGAACCTGATAACTAGATAATTTTCAATCTATGCTACACCATGTGTAAAAGAGGGAAAAATACAAACTTTTCTTGATAGTTAAGTTTGACAAGCTTATAGGCAAAACAGCTTAAGCTCCAGGTCCTGAGTGGTGCATTCTCTTTTTCAGCCAAATATATACCCAATTCCTCAGATTTTAAAGGCTTTTCAAAAAAACTGCTTTTTCCCAAAACTTTTTCTCCAAATAAATAAATTTCATCTTGTGTTTTAATAAAATTTTTGATACATACAGATGTTTTATCTTTTAAAAACCAATAATTATCCGGTTCAAAAATTTTTAAAACACAATTTTCAAGTTCCACTTCTTTAAAGTGAGAGACTGAACAATTTTGAAACTCTAAAAGTGGGCCCTCATAAAAATATTCTTTTTTTAAATTTGGGAAGCCACTAGTAGGTTCATTTATGTTTTTAAATAAATCTATCTCTGATTTTCTGTTAATTATTTGCTGCAAAGGCTTTTCTTTTTTTCTGACCATTTTCTTAATATTCTGCATAAAATTTTAAAACAAAATGCACTAAATGTATGCAATTTTCCAAAATTAATTGCATCTTCTGTAATATTCAGTAAGTTGTGGATATTGTGGGACGCATATTTCCTCCCATATAAAGTAATAAATGTGTCAACAAAATATTTAAATAACTGCTGGGTATATTCAGTACCTATTAATGTCATATTGTGATTGCTGCACAAAATTGTTACACCAACATGTAAACACAGAAAATTTATGTATTTATCAAAAGACAAAATATTTTTTAAAACTATTGGCCCAGTATAGAGTAAAAATTGTCGAAATTCTGTTGCTTTCCACCTTTTAAATTCTACAAGTGGACGTGGTTTTCGATTAAACTCAGATGGTATGTTTTTTACTTGTAGGTTTAATAAATTAGAAATTTCTAAAATTTGTATGTGAGACAACTTAGTTTCAGGTTTACCTGCACACCAGAATGAAATTATTTTTTTTACAACACCCAAGCAAATTAGGTGCATGTAGTCTAATGGGAAACACTTAATCATATCTAAACCTGGGATTTCTTCTATGATTGATGTTCCTGTATGATGTTCCGGCTGAGTTTTTTGACGAAAGTCAAAATCTGAGCGTAATTTTAAATTTACAGTTTCTGGAAAACACACTGAGTTAATATCCTGAATGCCAAGCTGTAAATGAAATAAAGGACTTTGCGGGAGCATCACAAATAAACCCTTTAATTTTAAAATTCAACCTTTTTCCTTGAAATAAAGTCCCATTTTCTGTCAAAAACTTGGCTTCTTCGACAAATTCTTTTAAGAATGAATTAGAATTTTTTGTTTTAGTCACCATAATATAACCCAGCTAAATCAACATTTTTATATCCATAAATACTAACAAAAATAGGGTAAAATGTGCTACCAGAGCTTTTAAATAGGGGTAATCCATCAATATTGACCAGAATTTCGATAGTTTCTAATGCTTGGTCTTGAAAACAAATTTGTAAAAAAAATTGGACACAATTGTCCAATCCAAAATGAACTCTCCTGGTTCTATCAGTGCAGTTTTACTTTCCCGAGAAGTTTTTAAAAGGGACCTTGCATCAGCAGGCAGCTCTGGGCAGGTTTAAGAATTTTTAATAAACCTATTAAAGCTACCTGCGTAATGTTATGATTAACAGCCCAGTTTAAAATTTGTACCGGTAATGAGTTGGATTTGTATAAAGGTTTGTTTTGAATAATTAATGTAGAATCAGAAGTTAACTCAATATTATCATCATCACTAAAATTATTATCTGAATCTAAAAATGGTTCATCCTCGGGTTTATCAAAAGAAGCGGATTTCATAGCTACATCAGCATCATATACGAAACCCTCAACTGCACTACTACCAGATACAGATGGGATAGAACCTGGAGAGTTTTCTGGATTATAATTGTT